TAATTTATGAAATATGAAAGTTAAATAATATTTTATTCATTGAAACATTGATTATTTATCATTCTTTTTATTTCATTTTATTTAAATTATATTATTCTCATTATTATTCATTTCATTAATTTATTAATATTTATTTATTTGAAAGTACAACAAATAATCATTCTTTCTTATTTATTATTTGTTATTATTCTTTAGATAAGGAAATCGAAGATGACATGTCAGAAACACCACATACAACCATAAAATATTCACATGATTCGATTTCCCCAGTTATCTTCTTGTTATGACATACCTTTGGTGTGATAATATATTCAAAACTAACTTGTTATTATTTATAGTGATTATTATTTATTAAGAATAATTATTAAGAATTATAATTTATCAAAGAAAAAGCATATATAATTGTTAGTGTTGTATGTACATTTGAATATAAGGATATTAACAATGAATAATTTTTCTTTAAGGGGTGTGGAAGATAAATGAGATGAGTCATAATCATTAGATTATGGATATACTCTCGTTAAAACAACAATATAAAGAATGAGAAATATTATATTACTCATTAAAATAAAAATAAATCTCAGATAACAACTTAAATGAAAAATAGTTTAAGTCTATCATGTTTGAAAAAACTTTATTTCAATAGAAATAAAGCATGAATAAGAAACTGATTTTCTCACTTCTCAACATAATGAAAACCTAAAGATGAGATTAATCATAATTAATCCATTATATATTTTAATGTATTTTTGAATATGACATGTGCTTGTTTCATTATTAATTTTATACAATTTATTATGTTGAAGTAATTAATAGAAATACATATTATATTTGTTTAATCAATACGTGAAATAGAATTTAAATAGTAAATAACATTAAAATATAATTCATTAATATAATATCAGTATTTCTCAGTTGAGTAGAACATAAAATACACAATGACTATTATATTTAGAATGATTTAATAATAAAATATCATATTATCATCACATTCTTATATATTATGACTTAATAATTTCATTAATTACATTTAATCCATCATCTACTCTGAATAAACCAAAATCAAAACATCTCTATTGTGTTTTTGAAAAAATACAATCCATTGAAGTAAAGTATTGTTAAAATGTTCTAAATTAAGTTAATTCGTCTTTTGCTTTTATTGAACAATTGGTTTTCTTGTTTTATTTTTATTTTTTATTTGTTTGTTGTTGTGGTGTTATTATTAACATCATATTAACATTACATAATATTTTTACATTATTGTTTGAATATATTTCAAATGATAAAAATGAAAATATTATTATTTATAACATTACATAAAAACGATACAAAACGATTAAAAATAAATTGAATTACGATATTTTTATTTGATTTTGTAAGTTATCGTGTTCTAGATTATTTAGACATCATTCTAATTTTTTCTTTACTCCCTTTCTTTATTTAAACAAAATCATATAATCGTTATTTCATTAATAAACATGGGAGATTGGTATGTCAAAGGTTCAAATCTTGAAGGAGAACACGGATTAGTTGAACAAAGAAATTGTCCACAAGGAAGACCTTTTTGCCATCAACTTATTGATGAATGTATTAGAGAAGGAAGAACTTTACATGTTCATCAACAGGATTGGCAGATAAACTCCTTCACTTATGAGAAACTCTAAACATTCTCTAATTTACTTTTATCTTTTTTATTTTATTCTTTCTTATTTTCTTTTCTATTCATTTTTCTTATATAAAAATTATTTGTTTATATTGAATAACTTAACTTCTCATTCTATTATTTTATTTATTACATTTTATTTTTATTTCATTTCTCAACTTCATCACTCAACAGTAAAATCAAAATAATGAAAAGATAAATTTAATATCGAATGATGTTTAAAATGTAATTTATAAATAAATATATCGCATAACATAATAGGGGGTAATGTAAATTAATAAAATAATCGTTTTGATTTATTCATTTATTTCTATTTTAAAATAATAACGATATGAAAATAAAAATATGAATAAAGTTTCAAATGTATGTAAAATAATAAAAAGGGGTATAAAATAGGAAAGAGGTAATAAATACGATAAATATGAATAACATGAAATAAAAAGAAAACGATAAACTTGATAATTCAGAACAAATGCATACAAAACACTCTAATACAGAAAGAATGAAAAGAAGTGCAGAAATAGCTTATCTCAAAGAACATTATCCACAAAATTTAGTTCAATTTCATAAAATAGGTGTAAAATTTCAAAATGCACCAGAAAAAGAAAATGAAATTGTTGTTGAACCTGATGTACATTTTCAAATTGATGGAAAAGAATATCTTGTTTTTTTCAATAACCATTTAAGGGAAATAAATACAGTTTTAAATCGTTGGTTAGAAAATGAAATTTCAGAACATTATATTATTATGCCAGATTTTGTTAAAATGTTTGTTAAACAAGTTGCAGAAAAAGGAAAAACAGATAAAGGAGTAATACGACATTTAAAAGCAGCAGGTATTGGTTTAATTCCAGGATATGGACAATACCAAGCAATCAGAATGTGGACTTGTAATATCTTTCCAACTTTAGTATCTTCAGAAGTAAAAGAAGATGAAGATAGAATCTTTCGACTAGCATATCATGTTTATAAAACAAAAGAATTAATTGAAAAATATGGAAGTGAAATACAATCAGGTAAAATATGTGCTATAGGTATTGAAAAGAGTTTCAATGGGAAGAGTGAATATATGACAGTTTGTGATAATGAATTTTATCAAAAATTAGAATCAAAATTATTTGAAATAATGTCATCTTACGAAAAAAGTAAAGATGAAAAATTGAATGATTTAAATACATTTTTATATGGGTGTGAGAAAATAATTCAACCAACAGTAGATGAATGGAGAAGAATGTGTTTTTGTTTTGTAATTAATAGAGTGAATTATTATCTTACAAGACAATAAGAATTATTAAGCGACAAATCATATGAAGAATTAAAAACAATGACAAATCTTAGGAAAAGATTGAATCAGCTTGCTATTAAATACAAACATTTGTATTTAACAAATACACAAATTCTTCTTGGAATTAGAATAAGTCGATGTAAAATTCTTGTTGATAATAGAAAATGTAAAACAATATTTATTGAAAGTTCAAATGTCAGAGAATTTTATAAAAAGATTAATAAAAGGTTAGATGCAGAAGTACAGATTCTTACAAACAAATATTCATTCAGTGAATTTCCAATTGAAAAGATTATAAAAACAGCACAGAATTTAAACCTAGATAACAATCAAGATTTAATAGATAAACTGAAAAAAGAAATTAATGAAAAAAAAGAAGAAAGAGAAAAGTTATTGGGAAATGCAGCAACTGAAGTTGGAAAAGTAATCATAGAGAAAGTAGAATCTATAACAGATATTGCTGTTTCAATTTATAATACTGACTCATTGATACAACAATTTAAAATAAAAGATATAATAGATTATATGTTAACACAAAATAAAATAGAAAAAGAAAATACAAATGAACAACAAAAAGATGTTAAAAAAGAGAATACTAATCCACCAAAAACTGAAACTAATAGTAAAGAAAATAAAGAAATAATTCAATCATCTAATACAAACAAACAAAATAATTCATTACCTTCATTTGCATTAAATAATACACCACTTGGAAGAGCAATAAAAGCTATCAAACCTACTCCAGAACAATTAGATAAATTACATTCATCATTTAATAACTTTGTTGAGGCACAAAAAATAACAGATGAAATTGAATCATTTAAAGAACAATTAAGTGTGTTAGAAAAAGTTCAAAAATTATCAAATGATTTTATCAACTTACTCAAACTTAAAATAGAATTGCAAAGAGAATGGTTATTTGATGAGATTGATATTAATGAATATTTAGGAATTATTGTTACAGAAGATAATAGATATGTTGTTAATCCACGAACTAAGTCTGAACGTAAATCTAATCATAAAATATATGAAATAGAGAAAGTACTGAATTATAATGAAGGAAATGAAGAATATTGATCAAAACAATAATTTGATTTTATTTTAATGTTTTTGTTGTTTATATTTTCTATAAATTGAAATAAATGACAATGAAATAATGAACTATAATTATAATCATTTTCACACATTTTGTATTATTAGTTTTGAATATATGGTTAATTAAAATTATGTTTTATTCTTTTTTATTTCATTTCAAACAAATATAACAAATGAAATATGAAAATATTGTTTCTATCATACAAAGTGTCATTTAGTTAATTTTTATTTATTTGTTCGTTATTTCCTCCTTTATTTATCGTTATTTTATTAAACAAAAATTATATTTCAAATTAAACCTTCTTCAATTAAAGAATTAATGTGATTATTCCAAGTATTATCATGACTAGGTTTACTGTCATTATTGGCATTCCACTTGAACAAATGCCTTTAATACATTTGTTGTTGATATAATCAAATTTATATCCTTCATCGCAATAAGCTAGTACACATTTTGAACTCCACTCTCCATTATCTCCACATTCATATCCTCCATGTCCATGTTCAATATTAATTTCGTTATCACATTTACTATCTCTTTTAACTAATCTTTTATTCTTTGGATTACATTTTGTTTGATATTTTTCTATTATTTTCTTTGTTTGTTCTGCAAATTCATTTATCTTATAATTTGAAAATTGATAAATATTCACTCTTTCATCAATCATATCTGTTAAAAATTCTCTAGGAATTGTTTCATTGTATTCATAATTATATCTGTATCTTTCTCCAACACTTATTCTAAGATTATATCCATATACTCCCATCCATATATGAGGGAG